TGCTGTCAACGTGTCCTAACCTAGCTATTTTTTCTAGTTTTAACTCTTTTTGTACTCTGCAGAGCTGAGCCTGAGTGGCTAGCTCCTGTTCTGGGGCTAACTTTAATGCACACGATAGGAGCCTTGCCACACTACAGTGGCATTGTTTGTTTCCTTTCCCTTTCTTACAACTACTTTGGATGCTACTTCTAATATTTTCAGCACCCTTCTTTTCATTTTCAGAGTATCTCCATACCCGCCCAGTGGTCCAGACCCCTCTAATAGGAAGCCACCTAAATCCAGGTGGCCAGCCCAGGATATGCCCCACAGACTGTCTGCCCTTTCCCAATTCCAGAGTCAACTCAACATGTTCCCCTTTGGGGTCCTGCCAACTATGCTAATTGTTACATCCCAGGGCTGGAAATTCCCTAGTGTACTGTTTACCAATTCCAAAGGAAGAACTTGGAGAACTCAAGAGAGAAGTTTTGGACATTGTATTCCTTACTCCTCATTGGCAGTGGGCTGGGATACAGTGGAGGGCCACACTGTGCCTATAAGCAGGAGGAATAGATAGGCTAGGTTGCAAGCTTTCCTAGGCACAGATTAGTATTTAACCCAACACTTACTGATTTGTCTTCTACTTGTTCAAGCAGCTATATGTAATTTGGGGGTAAAAAATGGCAAGAAGATTTTAAAATTTATGAGTATGCAAAACATCTAGAACACCCAATAGAGCCTTGAGAATGAAGACAAAGTATGGATGATAGACAATACCTAATGTTAAGATTTACTTAAAAAGAAAAAGATTTACTGTAAAGCAACAATAATCCAGGCCATATGGTATTGGTGTAAGGATAGACAGATATGTAAAGAGATTGGAAGAAAGTCTAAAAATAGACCCAAACATATATGGACAACTGATTTTTGACAAAGCTGCCAATGCATTTCAAAGGGAGAAATGAAAGTCTTTTCAGTGAATTGTGCTGGAACAAATGGATATCAGTATTAATGGAAAAATAATACTTTGATCCATGGCTTATACCATATACAACAACTCAAGTTCTAGTATTACTGAATTGTTTTTTATTAGACAAATCCATCTAACTTATAATAACTATTAACTATAGAAAATATTTTAAAACAAACTACTGAAGACACTGGGAAGTTATCCAAAGAATATTTTTCTCACCTATCGTATATGGATGTAGTAGTTTGGGATTGTGTCCCAAATATTATCAATATTATTTTATAGCAAAGTAAAGCTGTATATTCTTTTATATTATTCTGAGGAGAGGTTTTTTTTCCCCCACAGAATAAGAAATATTTGTTTGTTTGTTTGTTTGTTTTTGTGCCAGGGATTATTTATTTTGAACTCAGGGGCGCTTACCCACCAAGCCACATTCCCAGCCCCCTCATTTATATTTTATCAGAGACAGGGTCTTACTGAGTTGCTTAGGCCCTTGCTAAGTTGCTGAGACTGGGTTTGAACTCATGATCCTCCTGCCTGAGCCTCCCGAGTTGCTGGGATTACAGGCATGCGCCATTGTGCCTAGCTTATTTATTTACTTTTATATGGTGCTGAGGATTGAGCCCAGTGCCTCACATGTGCTAGGTAAGCATTCTGCCACTGAACTACAACCTGAACCCAACGTTAATGTTCCTATCATAACAGACAATTGACTAGGCTACACTCAACCTGGAAATGTTGTCTCATGTAATGTGGATAGCAACTCAGCTTTTAGTTCAGCAGCTTTTAGTTTGCCCCACCATGCAGATTGGAGTGGCCAGCCAGAGACATATGCAAAGTGAACACAGAGAATTTGGCATTCATTTTCTTTTTGTTCTTTCTTTTGAGGTTGCCCTCTCAATCTGTAGTGGCCCTGGGCACCCCAGCCTTCCTCCCCTGGTTCCTCTGGCAACAGGATGACAATATTTTATGGGAATTTGAACTGGTTCACATTGCTGCTAAAAGTGCAGCTACTTTGAACATAAACCAGAAGAAGAGGGAACTCTGTGCTGATAACTTCATGTATCTTTGGACTCCCCCCCAAAGTCTTCTTGCTTTTGATATTTGTTCGTTGGTTTGTTTTGTTTTTATAGAAAATATGTTTAATGAACACAGAGGTATCTTTCTTAAGGAACTTACTTCTCTGTACTAGAATCTTATGATTGATTCTTGTACATTGTATTCTGAGACTTTACTAAAGTTTCTTATTAATTCTAGTAGGTCTTTTGACAAATAACCAAAATTTTCTATGTACATTATCTTGTCTTCCTATCATTATCTTATTATTATATAAGCCCATTATTTTTATTTTATTTCCAGTCTAAAGGCAATAACTTTTTTAGTCTTTCACCATTAAGTATATCTGTGGTTTTTCTTAGATGGCCTTTATTAATTTGTGACAATTTCTATCTACTTCTAGTTCAAAGAAAATCTTTAACATGAATGGATGTTGAATTTCCAAATGCTACTTCTACATATGTTGAGGTGAACTTTTATTTCCACTAATGTGGTAAATCTCATTGATTTTTTTCAGGTGTTAAATTAACTGTGTATTCCTGGAATAAAAATTACTTGATTTTGGCATATTATTATCTTTATGTATGCCTTTATTGAATTAGCAGTATTTGGTAAAGATCTTAATCTCCGTGTTTATGAGAGACATTGGTGTTTAGATTTGGGGGAAATTTCCCTTATAATATCTTTGATTTTGATATTGTTAATGGTAGTCTCATAAGATAAGTTGGTACATTTCATGCTTGTTGTTTTCTGAAAGATTTTGTTTGAAATTGCTATACTTGGTAGATTTTTTCAGTGTTTACTCCTCTTGTTGTGATTTTATGTGAGAATGCCTTAAATCTATCATTAATTTTTAATTCAGTTTCTTTTTTATAGGAATACTCAGATTTTCTATTTCTTTTTATTTTAACAAGTTACTCTTCCAAAGAATTTATGCATTTCAACTAAGTTGTAAATTTAGGGCATTAACTTTTTTCAGAATACACTTTTATTCTAATTTTAATATCAGTTATATCTTTAGTGATGCTTCCTCTTTCTCTACAGTTGATAAATTTTTACAGTCATATATTAGAAACCTAATTTTTATGCACTTAATAATATAATCTCTAAATATATAGAACAAACATTGATAGTACTATCAACTAGAAAATTGCACAATCACTTTTAGAGATTTTAGCGTTTCTATTTCTATAACTGTTGGAACAAGAAGACAAAAGAATCTGGTCAGGCACTGTGATACACATCTGTAATCCCAGTGAGTTGGGAAGCTAAGGCAGGAGGATCACAAATTAAAGGCCAGCCTCAGCAACTTAGTGAAGACCTCAGCAACTTAGAAAGACCCTGTCTTAAAATAAAAAATAATCTGCAAAGAGGTTGAAGATTTGAACATGAAAATCCCTATCATATTATGTTGGTTACTATATACAACAACTAGAATACACATTTATTTTCAAAGGTACATGGCATACTCACCAAAATAGACTATTTGGAGACATAAAGCTAGTTATAACAAATTTCAAAGGATTGAAATTACATACTACTGTGTTCTTCAAGTACTGTTGAATTAAAAATATGAACAGAAAGACAAGTAGAAAGTCTATGAATGTTTAGAAAGTAAAAAACAGCTATCTCAATAGTGTGTAAGTCAAAGAAGAAATTACAAATGAATAAGAAAATGTTTTGAGCAGAATGAAAATATGACACATCAAAACTCATGAGAGCTAAGTGAAATGATCCAATCCCCCAAAAACCAAACACCAAATGTTTTCTCTGATATGTGGATGCTGACTCACAATAGATTGAGGGGGTGCAGATAAGAACATAAAAATAAATAATTTATTTCACACTTATAGGAAATCTTATTGCTCGTATTTATTCAGGAATCCAGGCTCCTGTAGTACATTAATCTACCTTTTTCTATCTTTTCTTCTTATTATTTATGTTTTTGAAATCTGTGTGTTTGAATCTGTGTTGCTGAGGTATCCAGGTTTTAGCAAGCAAGAAGGTAGAAGCAGATGTGGAGAAAATTTGCCTACCATCTCAATGCTCTAGTTTGCAATTGGCACCCATCATTTCTCCCACATTCCATTCATGAGTGCACTGTCACATAGCCATAGCAATTTTCAAGGGAGGCTAATGTTAAGTGACTGGGCAGCCATTTTCTTGACTACTATTCTGTTATTGCCAAAGATGAGGAAACACTCTACTGGGCAACTTTCAGTCTTTATCACAGGTAGCTTAACCTCTCTACAAATACACACACACACACACACATACACACACACACACACACACGCGCGTGCATAATATATGTATATAACATAAATCCAAGAAAACAGTTTCACCTGCATAGAAAATGGGAGTGTAGATAATCATTTTGTTTGTATTGATTATAATGGTAATGAATGAACACAATATTTTTCCTGTGGACATCAGTAAGTTATTTTCCATCATATTAATTTGTGGTTTTTGCTGATAATAGCAAGATATAGCAATGAGACTAGTGAGGATTTATAATTGCAAGCTAATGAAGACTAAGACTCTGATTCACCTTCTCTCTGCATAGTCTCTCCACAGATATTTTCCCTTAAAATCCTTGTCTTATAAATCTTCTGTCCATCCTATTTGATAGCCAAGCTTCCTACCCAAATAGGGTTAGACTGCTTAGATTGAACTTGAATCTCCAATATTTAAGAGCAGTGTTTTACTGCAAATTATATGACCATTATGCGCTTCATTTCCATTATCTATAAAAGGTGAATGATAATGGTCAATACCTTACAGAGTGTTTTAAAGGATTAAATGTACATATGTATGTATTAGAATAGGACCTGGAATATTGTGTCACATAAGAAGTTGGTATATAATAATTGCTATATATGTATTTCATGGTATCATCATCATATTTCCATGGGTTTAATTTGGATAAGATTGTGTGTATCCTTTAATCTTCTGCTATCTATTCTTCATGTCACTTTTCATTTTTCTTTGTCTTTAGGTGGAAAGTTTGGAATTAAGAACTCAAAAAAAAGTACTTCTGCAAAAACTACATTTCATAGTGAAATAGAGGACAAAGATACAAGAGATGATTCACTGTATTCCGTTTTAGAAGAACTGTGGCAAGATGCTGAACAGATAAAAATATGCCAGGAAAAACAGAACAGCCCTTTGAATCACACTGATTTTATCAATAAGAAAATATTGAACACAGAATGGGATTATGAATATACAGACATTGGAAGTTGTGTACATCCAAGCCCAAATCTCATTCCTTCACAGAAAAGACCCCATAAACATGACTCATTTGAGAAACGTTTTAGGCATAATATGGACTTACATATTCATAATAAAAACAATACAACAAAGAACTTTGATAAAATTGTTAGTCATGGTCAAGTTTTCACCCAGAACACTTCCTTTACTAACCATGAAAATTCACATATGGGAGTGAAGTTCTGCGAAAGTGATCAGTGTGAAAAAGTCCTCAAACATGCACTCAGTCAAAATCTGAAATTTCCTGTTGGGGAGAAAGCAAGCACATGTGCTGAATTTGGAAAGATCTTCACCCAAAAGTCGTATCTCTTTGCACCTCCAAAAATTCATACTGTGGAAAAGCCTCATGAACTTAACAAATGTGTAAATGCATTTACACAGAAGCCACTACTCAGTATATATCTGAGAGTTCATAGAAATGAAAAACTATACATATGTTCTCAATGTGGAAAGGCTTTCCTCCAGAATTCAGAATTAATGATGCATGAGAAAAGTCATACTAGAGAGAAACCCTATAAATGCACTGAATGTGGAAAGTCATTTTTCCAGCTGTCATCTCTACTCAGGCATCAGACAACTCATACTGGAGAAAAACTCTATGAATGCAGTGAATGTGGGAAAGGCTTTTCCCTGAACTCAGCCCTCAACATACATCAGAAAATCCATACTGGAGAGAGACATCACAAATGTAGTGAGTGTGGAAAAGCCTTCACCCAGAAGTCAACACTCAGGATGCATCAGAGAATTCACACAGGAGAGAGATCCTATATATGCACTGAATGTGGACAGGCTTTCATCCAGAAGGCCCACTTGATTGCACATCAAAGAATTCATACCGGAGAGAAGCCTTATGAATGCAGTGATTGTGGGAAATCTTTTCCTTCTAAGTCCCAACTCCAGATGCATAAGCGAATTCACACAGGAGAAAAACCCTATATATGTAATGAATGTGGGAAGGCCTTCACCAACAGGTCAAATCTCAATACTCACCAGAAGTCTCATACTGGAGAGAAGTCTTATATATGTGCTGAATGCGGAAAGGCCTTCACTGACAGGTCAAATTTCAATAAACACCAGACCATTCATACGGGAGAAAAACCCTATGTTTGTGCTGATTGTGGACGAGCCTTCATCCAGAAGTCAGAGTTAATTACACATCAGAGAATTCATACTACAGAGAAGCCTTATAAGTGTCCTGACTGTGAGAAATCCTTCTCCAAGAAACCACATCTCAAAGTACATCAGCGAATTCACACGGGAGAGAAACCGTACATATGTGCAGAGTGTGGGAAGGCCTTCACTGACAGGTCAAATTTCAATAAACATCAGACAATTCATACTGGAGATAAACCCTATAAATGCAATGACTGTGGAAAGGGCTTCACCCAGAAATCCGTTCTTAGTATGCATCGCAATATTCATACATGAAATAACCCTATTTCTTAAAAATGAGAGAGCCTTACCGTAGAAGTCAGGTCTACTCATATATTATAAAATTCATCTAAGACAGACCTTGTATGAGTACACTGTATTAAAAAAAGCATTCATCAGGCTATCTCACCTGAGATGAAAAAAATAATTAGAAAAGACCCTATAAGAAAGGGGAATTTGGGGGCTGGGGTTGTGACTCAGTGGCACAGCGCTTGCCTAGCATGTGTGAGGCGCAGGGTTTGATCCTCAGCACCACATACAAATAAACAAAATAAAAGGTCAATTGACAACTAAAAGATATTTAAAAAGGGTGGGGGATGAATTTAACATTTACACAGCCTCACAAAATACAATAGAATTAACATTGAGAATGCTGTCAGTTTGGTACATTAGGAAAACCCTTCCTATAGAAAGTATCATGAGGCAAATTATTACCAAATGCTTGATAGGTTGGAGGATGCAAAATTATAGAAATGACAGTCATGTTTACTATGTTATAGTAAGCAGTTTAACAAGAAAATAATGTATTCGTTGTGCAGACCTTTCAGTTCTTTTGGCTGTTTGTGGTAAAATATTGCATAACATATTACATAATTGAATTGAAATTCTTTTTTAAAATTTAGAATGTTTATCAAATGTTTGTTATTGAACATATCTATCCAATGAATTCATAAGTTTGAAGTTATTTTGGCTTTTTATATACACACATCTGCGGATATAATTTTATATGAACATATGATTATTATTCATACTGTTTTCCATGATATAGTATTCTTCTTTCATTGTGTACAATGCAAAATTGCCACAGATTCCTCCCATCCATTTATGCATGGCCCCTTTTGCAATGGTAACTTGTTGTTTCTCTTATTAAGTATGTTATAGCTTGGATATGAAGTATCCCCTAAAAGCCCCTGTATTAACTGCAAGAATGTTCAGAGGTGAAATGATTAGATTATGAGAGCTATAACCTGACCAGCCCATCCTAGTTTGAATGGGCTAACTGGGTGATAGCTGTATGTAGGTAGGGCATGGCTCAAAGAAGTGGGTCACTGGGGGTATGTCCTGGAAAGTTCGTCTTCCCTGCAGCTCCTTCTCCCCTTTCTCTCTGCTTCCTGGTCACTATGAGCTGATAGCTTTCCTCCAGGGCACTCTTTAGTCATTATGCTACACCTCACCACAGGCCCAGAGTGATGGAACTGGCTGACCACAGACAGATCCTTGGAAACCATGAGCCGGAAGTAAACTTTTCCTCCTCTAGATTAGTTTTGTCAGGTATTTTGTTTATAGCAACAAAAAACTAACACAAAGTACTTCATATCTGCCTTTGCTCCTTGACTTTCAACTTGGCCATGTGATTTGCTTTGGCCAATGGACATTAGCAAAGAGATTCAAGAAGAGGCTGGAGAAGTGTGAAAGCCTGCCTTGAGGCTTATCCTTTTTTGCTGCTCTTTGGAATCCTTAGATCTCAATGTTAAGAAACACAGATGCCCTACTATGGGATGAGAAGCCACATAGAACAGAGGTGAGCCAGCTTAGCTGATGCCCCATAGATCAATTTACCTATGGGCTTGGGAATGAGTCCATCATAAGCCTATGTCCTCAGCCAAACCAGCCCAGCTCAAAATTGCCATGTTAGTTATACCAGCCAACCTACAGAATTTTGAGTTAAATAAGTGATAATTGTTTTAGGCAACTATATTTTGGGGTAGTTTGTTGCATATCAAATGCTAAATAATACTTAAAAGTATATGTGTGTGAATTGTATTATACCCAAATATAATATGGCATTGGCTTTGGGCCTGAGAAGCTAATAGAGACTGGAGAATAATGAGGAAATCTGTTTGCAAAATCTGGGAAAATGACAACCTATTAGAAAGGAAAAAATAGCAAATCATCACCATGCTCTGTGGGACTATAGAGAAGGTACCAAATAAACTTGTGGATCTGACTAAGAGATTTGCCATGGAATATGGTTGTCAGTTTGCTGCTTTTAACCACATATGATAAGGTACAGAATGAGAGAAATGAATTAAAGAAATACTTGTTCCCCTGGCAATCAGCTGTTTTGGGAAATAACTTTAGCTCTTTAGCCATGAAAATATTCTCAAGATACAAAATGGCTGTAGGGTAAATATCAAGTCATGGGTATGTCTGTAAAACCCTTTATTACCATGTTTGAAATATTGTATTCTATTGGTGCTTGGGAAACCCTCTCAGTGAAACAATGGGTGTCCAAAAATCTTAGTGACATGATTCCACAATAGCCTGACACTGCTCTAAGTAGAAAGAAGCTTCTCTAAAAAGAATTGCTGATGTGGCATTTGGGGCATAGAGTTGATATGAACAGATTCATAGGAAACTCATAGGTTTTAATTGAGTTTTACCTGTGGAACTACCTCCATACTGGCCTTAAAGGAACTGAAACAATTCAAAATGAAAAAAATGGCCTCTGGAAATTCCTCCCTAACTTCTGTGAACTGGATGCAAGACAACAATGTTACTCAGCTACAAGTATGGACCATTTCTTATGGGAACTGAAGGATGTCTCAGAGGGAAGGCCCAAGAACAGTATATTAAAATGGACTGGAAAGCCATTTCCAGGAAAAACTTGCCCTGATAAAAAAAACACTATCTGCCCCTGGAGCAAGGGGACCTGATATTTTCTCTGTGGTATTTCAGAATTGTTATGGAACAGTGATGGACACATGCCTCTTATTGCTCTCCTGGCTGAATGGGAGTACCTATTGCAGTTAGTCTCTTTCTCCCCATATATATCTTAAGTGTGTGTTTGAGAGAGGCATGTCAAATACCTTGTCATTTAGCTCACACGATCAAGAAACTGAGAAACTGTATTCAAGGAGCCACATCTGAACCTGGTATAGAAGACTTGGAATCCTGGATTTAAACCTGATACCTTGATTTGGGATGGGATATTTAGAGATCCCGGAATGGGAGTGATCATGTTTTGCATGGGGTGATAATGTGAATAATTTGTCATCAGGACATAACACTGTGTTAGAAAAATGCTACACGTTTCCTATCTCTATGTGTGTGTCATTTTCAGCTTTTATTTCTCTTTGCATTTCATTTGGAATAACTTACGATAATCTGTTTTCAATAACACTGATTTCCCAGCACCCTGGCTCTGTCAGGTCTACTGATGAACCTGTTGAAAGCATTTTTTTCAGTTATGTGTTATTTTTTATATTTACTATTTCCATTTGACTTTTATATCATTTATATTTCTGCTAAACTTCCCCAATTGTTCATTCACGTTGTTCCCATTTTCCACTATTTCCTTAGTTTGGACTACTGTAGCAAAGTACTATAGACTGGATGGCTTATAAACAACAGAAAATTCTTTTTTCACAGTTCTGGAGGCTAGAAGTCTGAGATCAGGTACCAATATGATCAGGTTCTGGTGAGGATCTTTTTCTGGATTGTAGACTACCAGGTTCTCATTGTATCCTTACTTGGCTTCCGATTTTCATATCCTCACTAGAAAGCTCCCTGGGATCCTTTATATAAGGGCATGAATCCCATTTGTGAGGCTTCCACCCTCATGACCTACCTACCTCTCAATGGCCCCATCTCCTGAGACCATCCCATCGGGGATAAGGATTTCAGTATACAAATTCTGTGGGAACACAGACATCCAGTCTATAATACCCTTTAATATATTTTAGCCAAATTTATTTTAAGTTCCCTGCCTGATAGTTCCAGTAAGTCAGCCAAGCGAGTTCCGGTCTTTTGACTGCTTTACCTCTTGACAGTGGGTTCCTTTCTATTGCTGTTTTGCATCTACAAGTTTTAGCTGAAAGTTGGATGTTGTGTGTAGGGCAATGTAAACTGAAATGAAAAGTATTTATTCCTGGAGATAGACATGGCTGCTCTTCTGATAGATAGGCATTAGCATGGTGGCATTGAGTTGATCCAGTCAGTGGTCAGGTAGGGTTTTGGTTTTGTTGTTGCTATTGTGAATTTTGGTGTAACATAGACTTCAAATTCCTGTAATGTTACCTTGTGTTTGAAGTAGACACTGGTTTTCCAGAGAATTTTTCTCAATGTTCCTGGACTGTACTTGCCTTTAGGCCTTTCCTGGGTTTCTGCATCTCAGTGATAGTCTCTCTATATTCTTGTCTCTCTCTCTTAGTAATTGATTTCTGTTTTTTTGTTTGTTTGTTTGGAACTGGGGATTGAACTCAGGGGCACTTTACCCTTGAGGTATATCCCCAGCCCTTTTAATTGGGGTAGGGGCGGAAAGTGTCTCTCTGTTGCCTGGGCTAGCTTTAAACTTATGATCCTCCTGCCTCAGCCTTCCAAGTTACTGGAATTACAGGCATGCATCGCTGTGCCCACTTAGACTGCTGCTGTTACTCGGTTCTTACTAACTTGGTATGGGACACAGAAGTTGTCCTGTGTCCCTGGGTCTTAACATTTTTTTTTCCCAGTGATCCTGCCCCTCTTCCACTGGTAAGAGATATTTTATTGTCTGGCCCAAGATAGTTTCCTCCCATTCCATCATGGGTAGATTTTTTTTTCTTTTCCTTTCCTCTAGTCACAGTGGATCTTCACCTGTATCCTGAGAGTGACAGGGTTTGCTGCACTGCACCAAATGGCTTAAGGCTTTTGTTTGATAGAATAGGGTCCCTTGGGATTTTGTATCAGCACCCATCCCCCTACTGGCATACCCCATGGAAGGATGCCTTCTCCACTTTCCCACTCTACTACTAGTGTTTCTTATGAGCACCCAGTGGAGGTCTGTGGTGAAGAGCCTGCAGGTGGAAGCCAACAGCCCTTAGGTCTACAGCTCTCAGGGGTTCTATATTCTCACTATCCCACTCTCAGCCTTTAACAGTTTATTAAAATTGTCCATTTCTTTGGATAATGGAACATTAGCAAATATGACACAAGAACTCATAAGAAGTGTTTGCACATTGAAGTTTGCCCACTCTTGCTGCTCTTTGGAATCCTAAGCCCATATATTAAAAGGCAGGAATGGTGAAGTTGGAAAATGATGGACCACTTGGAGCAGTGATGGAGCAGATATGATTCATCCCAACTGAGGCACTCGACCAACCAGATTTTCAGCTACCGAATATGTAAATGAAGATATCCCAGCCAGGTATTCCTGATCAAGGTAACTATGGTTAGCAGTCTCTGAGATGATCCTGAATGATCCCTCACTCCTGGTATTCATACTCTTGTATAATTCTCCTTGAATTTGGGCTAGATTTAGTGACTTGGTTCTAGAATAAGGCAGAGGTAATGGATGTCACTTCCAAGATTAGGTTACAAAAAGACTGTGGCTTCTGTTTTGGGTGTTCCTTTAATCTCTCAGATGGCTCACCCTAGGGGGAATGCAGCTGCCATCTCATTAAGCAGCCCTTAACAAAGGCCCATGTGAGTGAATTTGAGAGGATATCCTTCCCCAGTGTTGCCTTCAGGTGGGACCTTCAATCCAGATAGCTTTACTAACCTCATGAGAAATCTTCAGTCACAGGCATACTTCTGAGCCATACCTGAAGGGGACCCACAGAAATTGTGAATTAATAAATGTTGTTTTAAGCTGACAAATGTTAGGGTACTTTGTTACATAGTCATAGGTTAGTAATATATTGGCCCAGACAAGGAAGGCTCTGCCATCTATTCCACCCATCCCAGACAACTTACAGAATAATGGATTACAATGTTTATTGTAAGTCTCTAAGTTTGTGTGGCTTGTTACCCAGAAAAAAACCTAGCTGATAAATTCACTATTCAGTGAATTTTATCCTCCACTATTCTTCCCCAACAGATAACCAATACTAATCAACTACTATGAGCACTTCCATGTTTTAGTCTTGCTAATAAACCTGTATAGATGTACATATGTGGGTATGCTTATAATCATATAGAAACTATATAAGGATTGCTTTCTTCTTTGATGCATACTACTATCTCTGGATCTTGCTTTATTATTCAACAACTCTCTTTTGAATGGTTGTATGATAGTTTGTGGGGTGATATGCAAGAATCTATGCCATTATTTGCATATTAAAATTCCTTCAATTTTTTTTTGTCATTAGGAAAATGTTACTAAGAGTATTAAGGAGTTGGGCTGGGGATGTAGCACAGTGGTAGAGCACTTGACTATCATATGTGAAACCCTGGTTCTGATCCACCACACACACACACACACACATACACACACACACACACGTGTGTGTGTGTGAAGAAATAGCTTGCCTAGGCTCATGCCAGAGTTATCAGTCCTGGCTTTACCAATTTTTAGCTGTGTAACCTCGGGCAGGTTAGTTAAGTTCTCTTTCCTGATTTTTTTCAGCTATAAAGATGTTCATACTAGTTACCTATCTCAGATTTCACTACGAAGTATACTCTTTCCTGGGACTGCTTTACAAAGTACCACAAATTAGGCGGCTTAAACCAACAGAACTTTTTTTTTTTTAAAGAGAGAGTGAGAGAGGAGAGAGAGAGAGAATTTTTAATATTTATTTTTTAGTTCTCGGCGGACACAACATCATTGTTGGTATGTGGTGCTGAGGATCGAACCCAGGCCGCACGCATGCCAGGCGAGCGCGCTACCGCTTGAGCCACATCCCCAGCCCAAACCAACAGAACTTTATTACAGTTCTGGAGGCTAGAAGTCCAAAATCAAGGTGTCATCAGGGCCCTCTTGTAACCTTTGAAAATAGTAGGGAAGGGACTATTCTATGCCTCTTTTCTAACTGCTGGTTGTTTTGTGTGTTACTTTGCTTGTGGATGCATCAGTCCATTGACATGGATGATTTCTCCCTGAGGTCTTCAAGCATCTATCTGTCTCTGTGTCTAAATTTTCCTTTTTTTGTAAGAATACCAGTTATATCAGATTAGTTCCTACCCTAATAACTTCTTTTTAACCTGATAGCCTCTGCAAAGACTATTTCCAAATAAGGTTATGTTCTGAGGTACTAGGCGTTATGATTTCCACATATCCTTTTAGGAGGACACAATTTAACTCATATCAAGAACTTAATGGATTTATTTGTGTAAGGCACTTAGAACTTTGTATGGAGAGAGGTTCTTAATGACTATTAGATACATCTCCATTACTGTACTTGCTTAGGTCTCCATACGACTTCCTGTGCTTGGGAAAGCAGTGGGATTTGAGAATGTCTATGACATTTAAATCTCATCCAACTATCTGAAGAGAAATGTGGTATAAAAAACAAAACGCAAGCCTCAGACTAAGGCTTATGTGATCAACATTTGAGGAATAGGCCAAGATGGATCCATCTGTAGTAGATAATGAGAAGGAGCACCCAGAGGTCAAAACATGCCAAGTGAGAAAGGAGCTCACAGAAGAGTGTTTCCAAGATATGTTTCAATGGAAGATATGTCTAGAATGGAGGTCAGGTTATATGAGAGTGGAAAATTGCTGATTTTGTAACAGGCTATTGTTGACTTGGATGAGTGCTACTTTGGAAATGAATTTAAGGAAAGCAATTGAGGAAACCTGAAGGAATTTCTAAATTCATCATAAAGTGACGTCTGGTAGAAAAAAATACTAGGTCATTGGGCTGGATTGCTCTGTGTTGTCTGGGTTAAACTGAGAAATGAGGGTTGGCAAGAAGTAGAATTTATATGAGATTTGGGAGGACAAAAGGAAGGAGCAACTTCCCCTCTAAAGTCTTTGAAATTATATACATTGAAGGACAGATGCAGAGGTATCCAGCAAGTTTTCTTTTTTCCTCACTCTTCCACTCTATATCTAGCTCTTCTTTTCATCTCAATGCTGCTAACAGTGGCCTCAGGCCCACCACCAGATTCTTGGGTGCAGACCCACAAAGGGAACAGCTTCTTGTAGATTTTATCACCTCCCATTCACAGTCTCACTTCAGTAACTAGATGTTCTGGCTCCTCAGATATTCCTGAAAGCTCTGATTAGCCCACCCATTCCAATGGTTTCTAGAACCTTCCAACCCCCCCTTCTTATCTTTAAAAAAAATTTTTTTTAAATTGTCAATGAACCTTTATTTTATTTATTTATATGTGGTGCTGAGGATTGAACCCAGGGCCTCATGCATGCTAGGCGAGTGTTCTACCACTGAGCCACAACCCCAGCCCCCCTCTTCTTAGCTTTATACTCCCAGATACTCCTATAAATTGTGCATGGCCTAATTAATATTTTAAAATTCCTTATTCCACAACAGGGATATAGCTCAGTGGCAAAGTGCTTTCTTAACATAGTTGAGGCCCTGGGTTCAATCCTTGGTACCACCAAAAATGAAAAAAAAAACCCTTATTCCATAATATTCATATTGATTATACTTTCCCAACTGATACAGTTATACTTTCTTTTCCTGAGAACTTGAACTTGATATGTGTTGTTCTAAAATTGAGTGATGCCAGTGAGAAGTCTTAGACAAACTTGCTCTTTTTTTCCTTGTACATTATATGATGTGCCTTTCTGCCATATGATACTTTTTTTGAAGTTCTTTTTTTAAATATTTTTTAGTTGTTGATGGACCTTTATTTATTTATATGCAGTGTTGAGAATTGAACCCAGTATCTCACACATGCTAGGCAAGTGCTCTACCACCGAGCTACAATCTCAGCCCTGAAATTAAGTTTTATAGAAGCACGTATCTTGGCCCTGATTTATTTTTTGCACTAAGGATTTAGCCCAGAGGCACATTACTGCTGAGCTACATTCCCAGTCCTTTTTAGTTTTCATTTTGAGACAGGGTCTTGCTAAATTGCTGATGCTGGCCTCAAACATGTAATCCTCTTGCCTCAGTCTGCAAAGTTACTGGGAATACAAGCGTGCACCACCACACCCATAAATCCTGATCTTTGTATATTAATTTTACCTAGTGTATAGTAAGCCATTATGGTTATTAATTATGAAAGTTTTATTTTTCATAACTTTTTTATCTGATCCATTTTTTTCTCTTAAAGGGATGTCAATTATGTAAGATAGCTTTGTCATCTTCTACATTTATTTTGTACCACTCCATGTTCATTTCACATCATTATTCTTGGATTAGTGTGTTTGACTCTAGCCTCCTATTAGAAGATAATTCTCTATGAAGTTATTAGTGTTTATACTTTAACAACCAATTTGTTCAGATTTATTTACATTTCAAGATAATGGAGATAGAGAATGTCTCTTTTCTTTCTAGAGACATTTCCAGAGTAGATTTGGTAACATTCCAGGATAGTAAAAATAATGTCTCTATTTGAAGAAGAGGATGGGCAATAAAACAATATAATAGCATTTTCTTTCACATTTTAATTATGTATGCTTTCAATCATGTAGAAATATTAAAATAACTGTACATTAAACATCCATATAACTTTCATCTAGGTTTAACAATGTATAAATAAAATTTTCCTGAAATATTGATAGTAAGTTGTAGATATTGTAACATTATACCCCCAAATAATTGAGCATCCATGTCCTAAAAATAATAATGTTCTCCCCAAAACTGGAATATCATATCAATCTAATTTGATAATGTCTCATGTCCAATTCATTTTCAGTTTTCTTCCATTGTCTCTAAAATATATTTTACAGCTTTATTGTGATTTAATTAGCATATACTAAATGGCACTTATTTAAAGTATACAATTTGGTGAGTTTTGATGTGTGCACCTTTCATCTCTACAATAAAAATAAATATATCCACTCCCACAACAAGTTTCTTATGCCTTTTTGTCATCTAGTCCTTCTTTCTCTATTCCTTTTTCCCCATCCATAGGCAACCATTGATCTATTTTCTGTCATTATAGACTAGTTTGCATTTTCTGTAATTTTATATAAATAAAATTATATGATAAGCACTCTTGTTTGACTTTGTTCAGCAAGATAATTATTTTGAGATTCATTTGTGTTGTTATTTGTATCCTTATTCATTGCTTTTTATTGCTAAATGGTATTACATTGTATGGATGTACCAAAATTTGTTTATCCATTTATGTATTGGTGGCAATTGGTTATCTTGTTTCTAACTATTACAAATAAAATTAATATGAACATTTTCATACAAGTCTGTTTGGCTATCATTTTCATTTATGTTGCATAAATGCCTAGGTGTGGATGGCTTGGTCATGTGTTAGGTATATACTTAATGATTTGAGAAATTGCAAACTGTTTTCCAAAGTACCATTTTACATTTTTTAAAATAGTTTTTTAGTTGTTGATAGACCTTTATTTATTTATTTTTTATTATATGTGGTGCTGAGAACTAAATCCAGTGCTTCACACTTGCCAGGCAATGCCGCTACTGCTGAGCCCCAGCTGCAGCCCCCCATTTTATATTTAAACACAAAAGTGTTTCAGTGGTGCGTATCTTTGCCCTCATTGGATAAAATTATTATTCTTTTGTTGTTGTTGTTGTTATTACTATTATTATTATTATTATTATTTTAGCCATTGTAGTGGAACTGTAGTTTGGTTTTAATTTATACTTCTTTAATAACTAATGTTATTGAGCGTCTTTTCATGTGTTTATTTGCTCTCTGTATGTCATCTTGGTTAATGCATCTTCTAAAATATTTTGCTTATTTTTTAGATGGAGTCAGACTATGTTACCCCGCTGGTCTTTAACTCTTTAAGTAATCCTGCCTCATCCTCCTGAGTAGCTGGAACTACAGGCATGTAGCATCATGCCCAGTTATCTGTCCATTTTTAAAATGGATCGTCTTACTGGCATGGTGGCACATGCCTATAATCCTGGCAGCTGGAGAGGCTGAAGCAGGAGAATAGCAAGTTCAAAGCCAGTCTCAGCAACTTAGCAAAGTCCTAAGCAATTTGTTTTTTATTTTTTTAGCAGAATCATGTGGCATTTATTTTAAAAATAACATGGTATAAAAAACATTAATAAACATAACATGAAGCCTGAAATGCTAACTTCTATGACACTTGCATTTCTTTCCCCAAGCGATTTAGCAGTGGTGAAGCACTCTTAGTTTCAATCCCTAATACCAAAATAAATAAATAAGTAGATAGATAAATAAATGGTTGTCTTATTGAGTTGTAAGCATTCCTTTTTTTTTTGGTGGTGGTGCTGGGGATTGAACCCAGGGCCTTGTGCATGCAAGGCAGGCACTCTACTAACTGAACTATATCTCCAGCCTGTAAGCATCCTTTCCAAAAAAATTTTTTTAGTTGCAGATAGACACAGTACCTTTTTTTTAAAACTTATTTTTATGTTGTGCTGAGGATCAAACCCAGTGCCCCACACATGCTGGGCAAACAAACAAACAAACAAATGCTCTATCACTGAGCTACAGCACCAGCCCCTATAAGCATTCTTTATATATCCTAGTTATAAGTCTTTTGTGGGATATATACTTTGCAAACATTTTCTCCCACATTTGCCTTTTAAATTAAATAAGATTAAAATATTTTAATTTTAGTCTAATTCATTTTTATTAACATATTAATTATATATCTTTATGGGGTACAGTGTGATGTTTTAGTACATTTATACATTGTTCATTGATCAACTCAGGATACTTATATTATCCATCATCTCAAACATTTATTATTTCATTTTAAATTTTTTTTTATTTTAGATGGGCACACTATCTTTATTTTATTTATTTATTTTTATGTGGTGCAGAGGATCAAACCCAGTGCCTCACACATGCGAGGCAAGTGCTCAACCATGGAGCTACAGCCTCAGCCCCCATTTATCATTTCTTTATGATGAGTATATTCAGAGATCTCTCTTCTAGCTATTTTAAGTCCTATAGTACAATGTTGTTCATCGTAATTACCCTTCTGTGTAATAGAACACCATAAATTATTCCTCCAATCTATGACTTTGTACCCATTGAGCAATGTCTTCCAATCACCCCTTCTCCCCTACATTCCCCAACCTCTGTTAACCACTATTCTGCTATCTACTTCTATGAGCTCAGGTTTTTTTAGATTAAAAACGAGTGAGATAATGTGGTATTTGTCTTTCTGTGTCTGGCTCATTTCATTTAGCATTATGCTTTCCAGATCTATACATGCTGCCACAAATGACAGAAGCTTTGTCCCTTGTTTAATCTCTGAATAGTATTACATTATATATATATATATATATACACACACACACACACACACACGATTTTTAAAAATCCATTCATATATCTTGGCTAGTGTGAATAGTGCTGTAATAAGTATGGGAGTGCAGATATTCTTCTGATATACTCCTCTTATTTCATTTGGATATATATCCAGTAGTGAGATAGCTGGATCATATGATAGTTCTACTTTTAAGTTTTTGAGAAACCACCATATGGTTTTCTGTGATAGCTGTACTAATTTATATTCCCCCTAATAGTGTATGAAAGTTCCCTTTTCTCTACTCTCTAATCAGCATTTGTCATTTCTTGTCTTTTTTATTATAGTCATTCTACCTGAGGTGAAATAATATTTAATTTTGCTTTTCGTTTAAATTTCCCTGATGATTAGTGATATTGAGGTTTTTTTCCATATACTTGACCACTAGTATATTTTCTGTTTTCTTTTATGGTTTGTACTTTTTGCTTCCTGGCCAAGAAAGTTTTGAATATCAAATGTCAGTAAGATTTATACTGTACTTTCTTCTAAAAGTTTTATGATATTGGCTCTTATATTTGGTTCTCTGATACATTTTTATTTAATTTTTTATATGATATAAATCCTTTCTGAAAGAGGTTCATTTTTCCCCATATGGCTGTCCAGTCGTTTCGGCACCATTGTTTTTTTTTTGTGTGTGTGTGTGTGTGTGTGTGATTGTTTTACAGTGCTGGCAATGGAATCCAGGGCCTTATACATGCTAATCAAGCACTCTATCACTGAGTAACAAACCCAGTCTTTCCAGTACCATTTGTTGAAACAAGATAATACTTTGAATTGTCTTGGCACTTCTATAAAACATCTGGAAGTATTTCTGTGATTTTTTTTTTGGCCTATTGTAATGCCACCACTTCAATTGACTTTTCTGTAGCCTCTGTATTGCCATAGGATTAGTGATTGCTGTAGCTTTCTATTAAGACATGAAGTCAGACAGTGTAAATCTTCCAATGTTATTCTTTTTTTAAAAAAATATTTTGTTGTCTTAGGTGGTGCTGAGGATTGAACCCAGGGCCCCATACATGCAAGCGCTCTACCGCTGAGTCATAACCCCAACCCCCAATGTGGTTCTTTTGCACAATTGTTTTGGCTATTGAAGATCTTTTGGATTTCCATATAAATTTTAGAATCAATTTGTTTATTTTTACCATGGAAAAACTGGGATTTTGATTTAGATTGAACCAAATCCATATACCTATATGAAAAGAATTGATATGTTAGTACTGAGTTTTTATTGGGATTATAGGCATGTGCCACCATGACCAGCCCTGCTTTCTTTCTTGATATTGGTAATTTGCATCTTCTATCATTTTCTCCTGGTAAATAAATATGCATTTTTATCAATTTTGTTTATTTTTTCAAATAACCAACTTTTGCTGCCACTGATTTTTCTCTATTGTTTTTTTCTGTTTGGAGTTTTCTGATTTTTCTCTATTTTCTGTTTGGATTTTTATTGATTTATGCTTTTTTTCCCTTATTTATTTTTCTACTTATTTTGGGTTAAATCTGCTCTTTTTACAATTTCTATGATTGAAACTAAGGACATTAATTTGAGACTTTTCTTCTTTTGTAGTGCAAATCTTTAGTGATAGAAATTATCCTCTATCTTTAGTGGCATCACATATCTTTTGATTTGTTGTTTTTACATTTCATTCATTTGAAAAAACTTCTTAACTTGGGATTTCTTCTGTGTACCATAAATTATTCATATCTGTTTTATCCAATGTCCAAACATTTAAGAATCTTCTACATGTATTTCCTTATGATTTCTAATTTAATCCCACTGTAGAAGAAACACTTTGTGTGACTTGTATACTTATAAATTAATTGGGACTTACTTTACAGCCTGAATATGGTCTGTGTTGATGAAGTTTCATGTGTACTTGTAAATAATGTATATTCTGCTATGGTTGTGTGACATGATATATAATTGTGAATTAAGATCTTTGATAGTATTATTCTAGTCTTTGGTAGACATATCAATTGATATATTAATTCCATCAATTATTGAAGGAGAAGTACTGAATTCTCTAACTAAAATTGTGCTTTTGTCTATTCCTCCCTTCAGTTACACAAGTTTATATTTTGTCTATATTGAAGCTCTGTTATTGGGTACACAAGAATTTAGGATTATTATGTCCTCTTGTTGAGTACATACGTTTGTCATTATGAAATGATTTGTCCTAATAAAATTTTTATGTATTATAGCCACTGCATATTCCTTTTGACCAGTTTTAGCAAGTATATACATTCATATACACATTATATATATATATATATAGATAGATAGATAGATAGATAGATACACACACACACACACACACATATATATATATATGATTTTAAACTTTGAAAAAATTTATAAAGATAACAATGTTTCTATATACCCATCACTCATCTTCCTGTAGTTTAACATTACACATAGACCTGGTCAATTTTATCAAAATTTACAAGTATTGTAACTAAATTACAGGCTGTATGGAGATCTTTCCAGTTTTTTCATTACTAACTGCAAGTTTCAGAGGCCCCTAAGACCACTGTTACTAGAACTCATGGAATTTTGAAAAGCCACTCTACACTCACTTCCTGCATAGACAACCTGGAAGCAGCAAGACACATAGGGCCATCTAGGAGAGACCAAGCATGAAGCTTCCAAATGTACTTTCCCAGCAGACTCATGAAAATAGCACTTATTTCTACCAACAATTATGCATTGTCATACATGGAATACTACCAACCAGGTATCTTACCTGATTCTTGGTGTCCAGAGTTTTTAAAGAGTTGATCATAGACATGGACCCTATTAGGGTCTGTAAACAAGTCAAGATGGCGCCTGGCATTTTGCCAGGGGGAGTGGTTTGTGAAGTAACGCCAGCAAACCATTAAGTGTGGAGATTCCTTATTGGTTGACTGCTGTATCTAGTTTATGTTAATTAA